GAGAAGCTGGTCCTCAGTGCTTATAGTTCAGTTAAATCTACCATATCTACCACCAGCAAAGCTTCTGATTTAGCACATCTTTGCAATGAATAAGACAGTTACCATCTCTCAAAGATATTGTCTCTAGGTTTTTGCAGATTCAGGGAGACATCACTGTATCAGTTGACAGTTCACATTTTGTTGATTTTCTTCACAATTATAATAGCATGAGTCTCAGACTCTGATCTTGCAAAGACTGATATGCATGCTTAACTGTAAGCATGTGAATAATCCCACTGAAGTTAAGCACATGCTTAAGACTTTGCAGGATCAGGGTCTACAGTAATTTTTTTGTAAAAGGAAAACTTAGACAAACTCAGTACAAGATGGCAGCCATCAGAGGAAAATACTGACTCAGCAAGCAACCACTGCTTTCAGGAACTTATTTTTGATGAAAAATTAAACAAAAACACACTAAGGGTAAAAACAGCTATTGAAAATTAGAATAGAACATTGGTCTTTTAGGGATGATACCTAGCAGTAACAAAATGTTATCATTAAAGGCCTGAATTTCCAGTCCCATACACATACAAAAACTCCTACTGAAATCAAAAGGATCAGGCCCTTTTAGAAGTGAGGTCAGTTCATGCCAAACGAATAGTTGTATAAGGCAAAGTTAATAGCAGCCCTTAGGCTTTACTACAGTATTTATTTTCTCTCTAGTATGCAGGATACAGCATATAAAACCAAATTCAGAGACCTTCATTTCTTCCAAATTGTGCTAAGAAATAGAAATGTGTCTTCCTTACATTAACATATATTTATAAGTTTAATAGTGGAGAATTTGCAATAAAAGTTATACCATTATGTAGAATGTATTTGTAGCTCATTTCTATATTCAGTGTTAATCTGGGGTTCAGGACCTAAATTTGGATCCTTTGCTTATATCAATAAGGGGAAAAAATCAGGTCTTTAAAACCCCTGTAGGTTTAAACAAAATAAAGAATTTTGGCATTTCTGTTAAAAATTTGGGCCTACATGTAGACTAGATTCATTGACAAAACTTGGCGAGTGTCTATATTATCTTGGTAGTATATTATATGTCAAAACTTCCTGCTTAGAATAACAAAAATAACCCTTATGGTGCCATAAGTCCTTTGTGACCTTTATAGCAGTCATAACAGCGACTGATAAAAAACAAAGATATATCAAGCAATAGTTAATTCTTGGAGATGTGAGAAGCTGGAGTTGAATGCTAGTGTTTAAACTTGGTTCTTCAAGTATTTTTTATTATTAGGAGAGTGATTCTTGAAGTGACAATGAAGTATTTCATTTACCATAAGATTTGCAACAACATGCATTTTAGTAATATTAGCATTTTCAGAATATATTTTGGAGCGTGACAAATATCAACATTTTGAAAACTACATTTAGCTCAATTTAAATTCATTAATAGAAAATTAAAAGGCCAGACTGCTGGAAAAGCAAATCAGGAAAACTTAGAGAAAAAAATAAATGAAAGCTATCAAACTATTGATAAAGATGGGATTGCATACACATGTCACCAATTTTCTTTTCAAAATAACCTCATCAGTAATATATTTTGCTAGCTTATAATTAATAGACAATGAGCTCGGATCATCCATAGATCTCGCAGCATTTTACAAAGGAGGTCAGTATCAGCAGCCCCATTTACAGATGGGTAAACTGAGGCATAGAGTGGGGAAATGGTTTGTTCAAAGTCACCAAGCAAACCAGCAGCAGACGCAGGAATTGAACTAAGGTCTCTTGAGTTCTAGTCCAGTGCCCTATCCACAAGGCCTTCCTTCTTTGTTGAAGTGCTATATTTGCAGGCACAAATCCTGATCACCATAATCATGTGAGCATAAGGCAAGGTGGTTTTGGCCCATATTTGATTAATCTGCATGGTAATATTCAGACATCTGTTACATTTGGTTCATACAGGGTCACATGCTAACCTTGTTATCAAGATGAAACATCTGCATGGCCGCCCAACCTTATCCTCTCCCCCTTGTGTGGCAAAATAACACCAATTCTTTAGTCATAAAGGAAAGGGTAGAGTTCATCCCTTAGTTTCTAGAGTTGGTTAGGTTTTTTTATATGCAGTGGAACCTTTATTTGTAGTGAAATAGAATGAAAGTCCTGAAGAAATGCATGGATTGCAGCATGCAGATTGCAATGTGGATTATAATAAACTTCCTCCTAAAATGAAGTTTAGACTGTTAAAACAATCATGTCAATAAGAAAGCTCTATTGTACTTGCATTCATTGGCACGCTTGCATCATCTTTAACTGGATAACTGTGAACAATGGCCTTTTTGGTTGTCTCATTCTCCATTATTTCTTTCTTTTATTTTACCGTTGTTGGGGTTTTGTTTGTGTTTGCACTCTTGCCCATCCCCCACATATCTAGAACAGTACTCTGAGATAATCTTACCTAAACCGTCAGTCCCAATCAATGAAGATACTCACATGAGTAAGAAAACTGGATTTAGGTTACTAAAGCCATAGGTATAGTTTCTAAAGTTTTAACTCAATATGGTCCCTATTATTTTGAGTTATTAATATTGATATCTTTCTAAAGTTTAATTTTACTTGCAAATGCAATTTTAGAGCAAAATCCTGCTGTGGGATCTGTGCAATAAATCTTCACAATCAAGTACAAAAGGCTGCTACTGGAAATGCAACTGTGTTTTGGTTGCACTCCAACCTGTATTAATTAATATATATCTCCCATTCTATACCAGCTGTCCTTTAGGAATGCATCTACTTGGGGCCCATAATTCACCACTGGTGTTACTAACAATAGAAATAGTAGTATACAGACCAGGTTGAGGCCTTCTTCCCAGTGTCATCTCTACACAGTATAGAAACTAGCTGTCACCTCTGGTTAACCAAATCTCAAATGATTCTAAAGCATAGGTGCTGACTCTCCCCTGGCAGCCCCACCATCAGCTCCTCCTCCTCCCTCTCCAATGCCTCCTGCCTGCAGCGATCAGCGGTTCAGCAGCATGCAGGAGGTGCTGGGAGGGAGGGGAAGGAGTGGTGGGTGCTTGGGGCAGGGGGTGGAATGGGGCTGAGCCCAGGGTGGCGTAGGGGCAGGAAGAGGCAAGGTGGGGGTGGGAGCTTGGCGGAAGGGGTAGAGTGCGGGAGGGGCCTGGGGCAGAGCATGGGGTTGAGCGACGCCCCCCCCCCCAGCAAATCATGAAGTTGGTGCCCCTGTTATAAAGAACATACCAATATAGAAATCTGTATTTCCAAATCAGGTCATGAAATATAGTAAGTGAGAATGAAAGACCCGATCCTGCAAAGAGTCATGTGAGTAATTTTACTCATGTAAGTTGGCCCATTGAACTAAGTTCTATATTGTGTAAAGGGAGAATTCATTAAGCAAAAAGAACAAAACCAAACCTTGAAAAGTGAAACTCTGATACTGAGTACCAATTGATAAACACATTTTTATCACAACAAAGATTTTACTAGCTCCGGGATGTACTCTTTAGCTTTCCCAATCTGAAACCAACACACAGTTCATGCCAGACTGTAGCACTATTCGATTGAAATTATTCAAATTACATGCAAAGCCTTAGTCCGTTATAAGAATGACACTGCTGTTGCTTTTCCTACTAAAGAATATCTTATACATTTGTGGGTTTCATTTCTGATGTGTATATACACAACGGAATGTCAGGAGGTAGAGAGGAATGTCCACTGTGAATTTCACATTTTCACAGTAATGACCTTAAAAGCAGCAATCACAGAGATTGTCAGATCTCCAGGAATAGCGAGGTATTAGTGGCACTAGCTATAAAAGCTCAGCCATCATTAATGCTGGAAGAGAGATGTTTATGTAAGAGCTGTGCAAGCATCCCCTTTTGGAAAGGCTGAACTGAGAAAAGGATGGTATTTAGGTTAGGGCACTAGTCAGATTTAGGAGACCCCTGTTTAATTCCTGGCTCTGCAACAGATTCCCTGGGTGACCTTGGGCAAGTCATTTAGGCTCGGTTTACACTATATCTCTTTGGTGGCAGTGTGTAGTGTATGTGTAGTAACATGCCACAGTGAAAAGTAGGCTGAGTCCACACTGTGGTGTGTAACTACATGTGGCAGTGAAAGTTTGGAAGGGCAGAGCTGCCAGAGCTTTTCCCCACTGCCAGTCTTTCACTCCAACAGCTCCCTGCAGCGGGATAAGGCTCGAGCTACTGGAGTTTTACCTAGCTGCCTCCCTCTTGCCAGACTATCAGAACCTTTCTGTCCAGCAGTGGGGCAGCAGAATAGAGAGGGAGGCACTGCTTGGGTGAGCAAAGAGAGGGGTAGAGTACATACTCTAAGGCTTCCCACATGTCTTTGCTCGCCCAAGCAGTGCCTGACCATCTACTCCGTTCTTTATATCCACGCTGGGTGGGGAAGTGCAGTGTACGTATTTTAAACACAGCTGTAAAGAGTGTGCACTGTAGATATACCCTTAGTGTCTCAGCTCCTCTTCTATGAAATGGGGTTAAGAGAACTTCCCTTTCTCACAAGGGCATTGTGAGAATAAATACATTAACCATTGTGAGAATACATAAACCATTGTGCGGTACTCAGATTCTACAGTAATTGGGGCTGTAGTAGTCCTTTCAATTTGCAGTCTTTATCTAAATGTTAAGGAGTAAATACTAAGATGTTACGTGCAGGAATTCCCTGTAAGAGACTGAATTCATTTGAGTGTAGTCCATTTCTATAGATTTGAGCAACAGTACATAATCCATCTTTAGCTATTCTGAATACAATATTTGGCTTAGCATTTTTGTAGGGTGACATCTTTGACAGATCATTTAAATTACAGTATGTAATTACAAATGTCTTCAATAGTGTTTTATGATAAAAACAAATATAACAGATACAACATGAACCATCGTTCTCTACTTGCATAGACCTTTGGATGGCACGGAAGTTTCGTTTATGTGAGGATTGGGCCTGTAAAAACTATGTACTGTCTGATCTTTGTGCAGAACTCCTGTTGCTGATAACTATGGCCTCTCAACCCTGCTGTTAGCCTCTCCTGTCTCCTGACAACCTGCAGACCTGGATTCCCTTGGGTTTCTGTGGAGAGGTTTCCATAGGCTGAGGAATGACTGCACCTCAACTAAAGGTGGGACAGAATTTGTCCGGGTTTACCAAATAAGGGCAGCTTTGCTTTGTGGTTGGGGGAGGGGGGAAGAGGAGGAAGGTCAGAAACTGCTGCAAAAGGTGCTTTGCAGCCATGACTCATCCCCACCCTGGGAATGTGCATAAAGGTATGAAACCTGGGTGGGGCAAGTCTCTAGGTCCAAGCAGCGAGGAAGCCAGCACTCACCCTGCCTCCCCTACTGGAGGCAAATGGCAGGCTGGGTTAGGACCTGCTGTGGGCATTACACTAGTCGTCCCTTTTAAAGGGGGGCTTGGAAGGAATTTTTCCCACATCACCAGAATTGGCTTCGGCTGAGTGTGGTTTTTTTGCCTTCCTCACAGCGGGTGTGAGGATGGACCTTTTCCGATGAATAGAAAAGGTGGTAGGCCATATTTTGCAGCTTGTTTTGTAATATTGGGTGGATGTTCAGTGCAGGTACTCCATAGGGAGGGCAGCCAGTGACCGGATAAATGGCCTGGTAAAAGACTTAAAAGGAGGTCCTGGATAAAGGAACAGAACGGGTGAGCGGGCTCGGGGACTCTATGATTGGTACGGCAGGGAGCCAACCCCCTCTGTTCTCATAGCCCTCCTTAACCCTCTTATGAGGCTGGTGGATGATAAGGTCCAAGCCATGGGTCTGCTGGATGACCTGGATGGAAACTAAGGGGGACTGGTGAAAGCCCCGGAAAACTGATTTGAATAAGCATGGATTTGCCTGCACTGCATACTTTATCTGCCGGGTAGTCCCAGACATCTATATAATAAAGTTGTGGCCTGATTAACACCCATAACAAGTCTTCTGTCCTTCTTGTGGTATACCCAGACAACGTAGGTTTACCACAGAGTTACCTATTTCCCAGGATCCTCAGCTTTTGCTCCTGCTCTGCTCATAAAGTGGAGAAGAGAATTTGGGCCATTGGATACAAATGTGTTGCATAATTCTTCAGGTCGTAAGAAAAAAATACAATATTTTAATAAATTTAATTCACATAATTTGTGAAATTAACCTCTTTCTACAGGGGTTATCAAGTCCTCCATTATCAAGCCTTATTTGCTCCTTTCCTACCTTCCATGAATTGGGCTAGTGACTAGTCCCTGCAAGGATGTTCAAGAGAAGGATAATGCGAAGAATCCATTTCACACGTTTAATCCTCCCCATCACCCATACAAGAGGCAGCCACAATTCCAAAGATCAGGGGGATTGTCCCACACTTAAGCCAGTAAATCTTGACAGCTGCAGAAGTGTACAATGCACCCTTTAAGGGTGGCACAGCAGCTGGACTCCCTGGAAGTCCAGGAGATGTGCACCCTGCATTCTGGATCTTTTGCTGGGGAGTCTGTCTCCACATTTAATGGTATACTTTTGCCCTGTGTATTTAACATGTGTGTGAACCTGTCTTACTTTGTTCACACTAAACTGATTTTCCTAAAATTTCCTGCTGAAATTACTACCAGTCCAGCTCCGTCAATGGGAGCAATGATATGAGTCCTAGTGTAGACAAGGTGCAGGCAGACAGTGGCTAAAAATACCAGTACTTGTTCTACACGTCACTACCGCCTGTCTAGTTGGGAGCAGATGACAGGATATTGTAGGAGAAATGTCTGCTTCTGTGATTACACAAGGTTGCTTCAAGATCATCAATTTCATTTTGAAGGGAGCAACACAATAAAAGAAGAGTTTCAAAGCATTAGCTCTTTGCCTGGCCAGATCCAGAGTTAGCTCTTTATCACAGGCGATTCATGACCCCAATTGATGCTACTGAGAGAGCAATAACTTGTGTGACAAACCAACAGCGTATGTATTCACTGTCTTTTATAGTAGCTTACAACTTCGTATTCATGCCCACAGTTCCTTGTGAACAGGCAGAGATCATCCCCCTTTCTAGACATTTTTCTCATCTGTCTACTCTCCTTGCAAACATTTAAGTTAGATCCAGTTGGGGCTTTTCAGAGAAATGTTCAAATTTCAGCAAAAAGCTGGAAAATGTTTTGGGTTTTTTGGCCAAAATTGTAGTGAAAGCAATTTTCTATTTTCCAGCCACTGCTAGGAGGTACATAATGTGCAGCTGGTTGGGGAATTCATTGTGAATCATATTTGTTGTAAGTTTTGACATTTTTTAAATTAAAAAAATTGGATACATTTTTATTGTTCAGACAACTCGACATATGGTCAGGAAATTTAAAAAAATAACCCAATCCTACGAATGCTTATGGACATGAATAACTTTGTTCCTATAAGTAGTCCCATCTGTGGGGCTTAGGGTCACTGCCATGACCTCTTCCACAGTAGGGTCAACCTTCACCTCCTAACAGAATGATTGGGAAGAATATCTTCTTTAATTCCTTCCCATAAGTTTTATGGAGGAGGCCCAATGAACCCAACAACTGAAAAAATTAATAGTATCAAGGACTATGTTCTTTGTTCATTAGAAGGACTAGGATAGCAGATTTCTGTCTACTGTAGAGTAAGTATATTTCTTTCAAAGTAAACAGCTCCTACAAAATATTATTTATACAGTTCTTGCAAATTGGCTTGAAGTGTTGTTTAGACAATCTTATTGTATATAAAGATAAAAACTTCCATCAAGAAATTATGCAACAGCTGGATAAATCTATCATGCGTTGGCAAAAAGCAACAAGCACTTTTAATTAGCTGAGTGAATGTAGTTTGCTGAATGCTGAAAGCACAGCCTCACTCATATTAAAATGTGCCTAATTTTCTGTGAAAAAGTCCCATCTGAACAGCCCTGACCACAGTCAATCATACTAAAAGCCACTGGTGCTTAATTTGATTTACCAATATAAAATGCAAATTAGGTGATTAAGTGGAGTGGCAGACATCGTAGGGCCTCTTTCAAACCATCAAGTTAAATGCAAGCAGACAGCAAACTGGCTGTGCAAAGAAAATTTTAGCATATTCGTTTGATTAGTGCTACAAAAATTTAATTAGGTTGGCTAATTACTTGACAAATTGTTCTACACTGGAGACAAGGCAGAGCATGTTTTATTCCTGCAAAAACCCTGTGTGTATTTTAGCCCAAATGCTATCTGCCAATTTGCAAAAGCATTATTAAATGAATGGAAGATGGTACAACAGTCCCCAACAATGGCAAATCGTATAATGCATATAATTAGACAAGACACGCACAACTATATCTGTATGTCCATGATCTCTCATGTCTAAAATATTTAACACAATATTTCTTGGAAATAATGTCTAAACAGATTATTACAATGCTGTCAGTTTTTCATAAGAAGCAATATATCGAAAATACTCATTAGTGGAATACGGAGCTCATCTAAAGCAGAGCCTCTTCACCTAAATGAACTGTATCAAATGCAGCAAAGTGACACACTGTAACTGTTTCACACTAAAAGGAAATAACATACACTGTTTGTCTGAGGGCTTTATCTTTATGTATATTTAGTGCTGAGCCGTGCCAAGAAAATTAGTTATCTGGTGAGCGAAGAAAGGAAAATTTGAATGAATTATTACATTTTACAATTCTAGCTGTGTAAATAGGCCAAATAAGAAGAACACCAGGACATTATTATAGAGCACAATTCTTTTCTTATTTGTCCATTAGTGTTCACATGCCACAAAATTTGCCATTTCTTTCAGGAGACTGCATTTGCTTCTGCTGATCTTCAGTGTAACTAATCAGCCTCTACTGACTAAACATTCATGATAATATAAATAGATACCCACTTTATCTACTCAAGTGGAAAAAATAAGTATCATATTTTATAAACATAATGCAGTGCAGTTAGCAATTAGATACTGCATTTAACTCAGGCTAAAGCAATATCTTAGGAAACCATGGGATACAGAAGGTCTCTGAGAAGAAGAATCATTATTATGTGCATGAAGGTATAAAATATTATTTCTTGCCATTAGCAATTCTCAACTTTTGTTCTATAAGGCCACTGCAATTTTTATACATCCCAGTAAAATGGTGAAATCCCAAATTGAACACAATTTCATATAGTGTCAGTATAATGATTACAATGTCTGATTGAGTTGTTTTTTGTTATTTTGTGTGTTAACAAATTTCAGGTCCCTACCACTTCATATGAATGACTGTTAAACTTACATTAAAGGAAAGGCAAAACAGGCTTCTGACCCCAATTTCTGAAGATACTTAGCAATCTTGCATAGAACCAGACAAATTTTTTTCAGCCCAAACTTTTTTTTTTCTGAAAAATGTAATTAAGGTCAACCAAAACTTTTCACGAATTCATGTTGATTTCATCAAATTGTTCAGATCAAAACAAACAAAACAAATTCTGAAAATGTCAAAATGGTTTGTTTCAACATTTTCACAATGTTTCCTTTTGATATTTTGAGCTAGACTCACAAGAGGATCTAGAAACCAAAATCCGAGAAGGAGGCAATGGCTTCCTCCATTATAATCTTTATCCCACTGGTTAAGGCACTTATCTGGGATGTGGAAAACCCAGGTTAGAACCCAAGTCTCTCCCCAGAGAGATCTCTAACCACCAGGCTAAGGGTATTCTAAATTGAGTGTTTCTCAGTCTTTCCTGTTGAAGCTTATTCATTTTGTATAAAAACGTATATATTCAGTAGAGGAGGGATTGGAACCCAGGCATCCCTCCCAGTAAGTGCCCTAACCACGGGGCTATCGTGTCATTCTCATTCTCTTTCTGTCCCAGTGGCGATTAATTTATAGATGGTGAAACAGCGTCAACAGGTGAGACTGAGCCCCACCCCAGAATATCCCTGTAATCTGGTGATGAGGGCACTCACAAGAAAGATCAAGTAAGTCTCATGGCTCAAGTCCCTGCTCCTGAGTGGGGAGTGGAACTTGGGTCTCCAACATGCCAGGTAAATGTTAAAGTTTAGAAAGGGAATCCTGTCACCACCACCTTTGGTAACTGTGCTTTGGAAATATAGGCCTTTATTTCCTTTGCTTTTATTAAAACTAGGGGAAATAAATTTTTCATTTGACCCAAAATAAATT